ATGAGTGCAAAGAAATGATCTAATGCAATAGGAAACTGAATATAAATGACTTCTGGATTTTTTTAGGCTATGGATTCATTAAATCATCCAACAAATATTTTCTAAGTCCTCACCTGGGGCTGGTGCTTGGGGACACTACTCAGGTGCCCTCCAAGGCTCACAGTCCAGAATGATGAACTCACGCTGTGACTCTGAAGCCGAGAGAGGCAGTGCATCCTCTTCCCAGAGCTACAGGTAACTCAAGAGGGTTTAGAAGCATGATACATATGAATACCCTCAACACACTGCACTTTTAGTCTTCATTGCCTCATATAGGATGGAGAGCCCACCACGTGTGAATTTGGTGCTCATCTTCCCGAGGCAAAGATTATGACTTTGGGAGGTCAACAGTTAGGACAGAGGGGCTCTGTCTCCTTCCCCAGTGGCCCCAGTGTGTGTGTGTGTGTGTGTGTCTTGCACACAGTAGGTGCTCTGTGGTCATGTGTAATATTAATGGAATCCTCATGTCTTCCATGTCAGCAGTATTGTCATCATTGTCCCCATCCTCTTCCCCATGGTAAAAATGAGACTGGTTCAGAGGGTTTGGGTAAGTACAAGGAGATAGCCAGAGAGAGGCAGAACCACAGCCCACCTGTGACCTTGACCTCCACGGGCTGGGCTTGCTGATATTGTGCTGCCTAGTGAAAAGCTGGTGGGGCGAGGAATGTGGTGAGAAGCAGGGGGGATGGGCTTCTGAGCTTGCTGAGAAGCAACATGGGGGAGAATCTGCAAAGCACTGGAAATGGTGGTGGTGAGGACCAGCCCGACCAGCTCTGACTCCTGAGCATTGCTTCTTGCTCTGTCTGTGGCCACCAGCAAGTCCCTCATTCTCCCTGAGACTTGGTTTCTCCACTGGCAAAGCTGATAATAACATCTTGTCTTAGTTCTGTAATGAAAATGCTAATGTGTGCAGTGCATTCTAAATTCATAGAAGTTAATTTTATTCTGAGTTCAAATATTTTTCTGCTACCACTACTATGATTATTTGCCTTTAAGCGCATGAAGCAGGGAAGAAACTTCTATATTGCATGGTATATTATAGTAAGTAAGTAAGTGATTTTCAGGGTTATCCAGGTTTATTAGTCAGGGTTCTCTAGAGGAGCAGAATTGGTCGAAAATACATGCATAATTATGCAAGGAGATTTACAGGATCAGAGGCAGGAGGGCCCACAATGGCTATCTGTGGAGAGCTGGAGGATCTGGCAGCTGCTCAGCCCAAGAAGACAGAAACCACAGAATAAGAGGGATCAAGGATGCTGCGTAGGCTGAGGTTGAAGGTCTGGAAGCTCCTTGGAGAGTCACTAGTGTGAGGCTGTGCTGGAAGGCTGGAGACACTGCGGACTGATATCTAAAGTTGACAGCAGCACGGGGCACATCTGCTCAAGCAGACTGGAGCTCCTCAAAAACCTGCTAACTTCTTTCCCTTTTATTCCATTGAGCCTACAAGCCTATTGGATGCCACCACCCACCACTGGGGTGGTCTCTCCCCACTAAATTTGCTGGCTTACAGGCCAGTCATCATCTCTGGAAACACCCCCCAGACACACCCAGAAGTGTGCTTTACTCTTCTCCTAAGAGTTTCCTGACCCAATCAAGTCGACATATCACGATTCATGGTCACACCAAGAAATCTGAATTTGCATCAGGAAAGTAACTTCCCTATTCCTGTAGCTGCTGTTTTCAGACTGCCAGAAGTGGAGGTAACATATCTGCTAGTATTGCTTCTAAAGGTATCAGGGCAGCTGCCTCAAACAGGGTTGGAGGCTCAGCTGCTTTCTAAATGCCGTGTTAAGGCTGGAACAGAAGGTTCCTTAACTCTATAGTCCTTAATTCTATAGGTTTGCTCTTTGCATGGAGCATGTCTCCATGCTGGGCAATTTTCCAGGGGTATATGTATCCCTCCTCACAGAGGAATTGAGCCCCATTTACCGTTGTGTCCCTAATGGTAAGCACAATTCGTAGCATGTTGTAGGAGGGTATATTAATCACCTTTGCTAGGACAAAATACTTGAGGTACACAGCATGGTATTTTGACTTACGGTTCAGAAGGCTTAGTCTGTGGTTTTTGCCTCAAAGGCAGAAACAGCATGGTGAATGGGCATGGTGGAGGACAGCTCTTCAACCTGTGGCAACAAGAAGCAGAGAGAGACAGGGAAAGAGCCAGGGAGATAAAAGGGGCCAGGGACAAGAATATACCCTTCCAGGTCACACCCCTGTGATCTGCCTCCTCCCACCAAGTCCCACCTCCCAACTGAACATTCAGCGATTAACCCATAAGTGGATGAATCAGTGCCCCATGATCCAAGCACCTTCCAGAAGCCCCACCTCTGACAATGTGAGTTTTGGGGGGACATTTCAGATGAAACCATGACAGTGAACATGATAATGTCTTTTCTTTTTCCTGAATGAATAAATGAATATATGTGGTGGGACAGGAAGGGAAGGAGGCAAACTTAGCACAGCACACCTCAGGATCAGTTACTCACTGTCTCAGTCCCTTTTTCATTCCTATAAAAGACTACCAGAAGCTGTGTAATGCATAAAGAAAGAGGCTTCATTGGCTCATGATTCTGGTGGCTGGAGGGTCCGAACAGCACAGTGCCACTCTGGGCTGGTGACGGCTGGCTGCACTGCGTCACAGTATGGAGGGGAAGCAACGGGGAAGTGTCAATGAGCAACAGAGAGCGGCAGACGGGGCAGGACAGACCCATTTCCTAGCGCCCTGCCCTCGGGGTAACCGTCGCCTGAGAACAGTGTTCACTCCCGTAAGAAAAGCACATCGCTCTCCAGCAACTTCTCGGATCACCACTTCCCCACACATTTATGTTGGTGGGGGCAAACCAGGTCCAAACCCAGTGCTCAGTTTCTTATCCAAGAAATGGGCCGGCAGGGAGACCCTGTAACTTCTGTCTCCCCTCTACAAGCCTGGGAGGAAGCGCAGCATGGCAGACGAGGGGTGGCTGCGAGGGGACGGGGAGGCTTGATGGGACCTTCTCGGGACATGGGTTTATGCTTCAAAAGACCTGAAGCCACAGGTATCTTCTCTGGCCTTGCGGACCAAGGTACCCATGGGGTTTATTTAAAGCTCTGGCATGTCTGAGAGCTGTGAGACAGGTGGGCTATGTTAAAATATTGGAGTTAATAGTGCAGCTATTTAGTATGAAGTGGAAAACATTTTAGAAATTATTGTTATAAAAACAATACAAGCTCACTGCAGAAACTTTAGAAAAGATTTGCCATAAGAAGTAATTCTACCACCCAGAGGAAAGAGCTGACAGTATGTTGGTGGATATTTTCTCTTTTTTATTTTATATATGTGTTATTTGTATAGGATTTAGTTCACATTGTACATACTGGCAAGAAACCTGCTGTAGAAAAAAAGTGAACTGTGACTCTCTCATGCTGCCATATCTCCCTTGTGACCTAATTTCGGAGACTGTGCCACCCTTCAAGCTGTGCCCTGGGGTACGGCACTGTCCTCGGGTGGCCCCATGGAGAGGGTGTTTTCAATTTGGGGCTGTGGAGAAAAAATGTTCTTACAGCTAATCTGTATGTACATGTGTAATTGTGTGTAATACTTTGGAGGAGGAGATCGGACCCAAAATTAGGGTAGAATTTAAGTCTCATTTTTCACTCTTACCAGATTGTGGTTTATGAAACCACAGAGAATTATGGTTTATGAAAACATTTGCCAGTTTGTTAGGTGAGAGATGACATTTACTGTTTGGGTCTGGGTTTAAAACCAGTTTTGATGATACATACTTCCTTTAACTCTGTGTCATTTCTCTTTTGGAATTTCTCATTGGTATATTTGTCTTTTCTTTCTTGACTTGGTAGAACGCTTCCTGAGTTACCCAATTATTTCTGCCCTGAGTTCAAAGCCGAATACTCTAGGCTGAGTTCATCCTGCTTTGGTGGGAAACACCTACCAGACTCGGGGCGAGGGCTGCTGAGCTCGAGTCCGTCCTGGGCCAGTGTCCTCAGCATCGTGTCCTCAAGCATGTGGACTCCTGCAAGAATGGCAGAGGGAGCCGAGCAGGTCTCAGGTGGCCCTGGGCAGTCTTCCAGCAAACTTTTCTGAGGAGCTGTGGCCCAAGCGGCTGTAGGTCAGCCACACCTCCCTTGGGTTTCCTCCTCCAAGAACAGCCCTGGGGTTTGCTCTGTTGAGTGGCCCAAGACAGGATGTCCTGTGCAATACAATGTGAGTCTCATATGTGACTTCGGTTGATCTAGTTGTGCCATTAAAAAGAGCAAGAAATAGGTGAAATTAATTAAAAATTAACTTTAGTAGTATACTGGGGATTGAACCCAGGACATTCCCACAGAGCTACATCCCCAGCCCTTTTTGTTTTTTTTTTTACTTTGAGACAGGGTCTTGCTAAGTTAAATTCATTGCCCAGGCTGGGCTTGAACTTGAATCTCCCTGCCTCAGCCTCGCAGAGTACTAGGATTATGGGTGTGTACCTTTATGGTTTGCAAAATTAATTTTAACAATATATTTAACCCAACCCAGTATTTCCAAAATATTATCACTCAATGTATAATGAACATAAAAATATCACTAGTGCATTATCTCGCACTGTTTGTTTTCAGACAAAGCCTTTAAAATCAGATGTATATTTTATACTTATTGAGCTCATTTCAGTTTGGGCTCACCGAGTGTCACGTGTTCAACCAGCCACGTGTGGCCGTATGGGAATGTGCAGGTCCTGCAGCAGAAATTTGGCTGGGGAAAAACCAAAAACTCCAACGAATTCTAATAAAAATGGAAATGTCCATTAGGGACCTCATGCCAGCAGCCCTCCTGAAAATCATAAGGGCTGGGGGCCACTCTGAAATTTCTGACTGAAAATTCCCGTGGGCCTGTCCACTCCTCTACTGATACGTATGTGTTCCTTACAGGTTTCCACAGCGTAGTGATTATCATGTTTGCCTCACAATATGTATATGTTTCTTTAAAGGGCTGGCAGTGACTGTGCCCTAGCCCCACTTGGAAGCGAGTCACAGACCCTGGAACTCACAGCCCAGGACAGCCTGCGTGAGGCCCTTGCAAGGCGAGACTGGCTTCTCCAGGAGAAGCGGCAGCTGCAGGTGAGAAGGAGACAGACATCGCAGTTGGGGTTGGGGGGTTCTCATCACTGAAGCCAAATGTGGCAAAATGGGTCCATGCTTTGCAAAAGGAAAGGTGGTGGGAGTGGCTGGATGGCCTGCAGGAATCGTGTCACAAATGAGGGCCAGACTTTCCTTATTTGCCATCGCTTGACCTTAGACACATCCCTTGGAAGCAGAGACAGGCCCCTGCCTTGAGAATGCTTTGCGGGGACTCCTGGGCTGGCAGGCTGTGCCTGCGCTTTCACAGGCAGAGTCACAGGTCTGCATGCGCAGGGTGAGTGCATCTGGGCTGACCAGAGGGCTGACTGGAAGCCATATGTGGCCCAAGCAGTGCTGAAAGTTGGCCCGGAATCGTCTGGGGTTGGGATCTGGGTGCAGCACCGTGGTAAAGCGAGAGGCCGTCAGGGCAGCGCAGGGTGGAGTAGGGTCCTGGCAGCTTGAGCTGACACAGAAAAGGGGTGCAGGGGGGCACTGAGGAATTCAGGTCAGTGGCAGCAGCTTCAAGGGGGAGCAGGTCCTCACCGCTCGAGTCCAAAGCATGTGCAGGTTCTAAGCAGCCGATGAGCTTGGGCAGGCTCTGCCCCATGCAGAGCGTTCGCACCAGCTATTTGCTCCACCCAAGCGGCTAGAGTAGTGAGCTGGTAGAGGGAGGCAGGAATCACCACAGTCTGCAAGAACCTGTGACAGACTGAACACTCAGCTCTGCCGCGAGCATCGTGCAGTGTGGACGGCAGGCAGTGTGGGATCTGGCTTTGAGTTTTTAACAGTATTCACCTCTGCTCTTGAGAATGTCAGAGTACAAACAATTTAAGCACCAGTACCCACTGCTAGAAGTAATCTGTGCGTTGCTTGGTGCCGTGCTTAGTGCTAAAAACATTCTGTGCTGTAGCTTGGTACTGGCCAAACTCTAGGGAAAGGTGCTTGAATCCTTGTCCATCCCGTAGGTCTTCCTGTGGGTCCAAGTGTGCTGGATGCCCTTTGCATGCCCAGGATCTTTGTGCAGTGTTCCCTGGGGTGTCGGTTGGGAGACCCATGGCAAATATTCTAAGACCTTGAGTGAGAGGGCTGGTGGGTTGGAGGTGGTAAAAGCCTCAGTGTGCAGACCAGGGAGATGGGTGAAGAGTCAGACTGAGGAGAGGACAGGTCCTGTACATGTCTCCAGCATCGGAGCAGGGGGCAGCCATGTGGGAGGGCTGGAGGTTGGCGTAGTGCTGTGGGTTCAGAAAGAGAGGGCTGAGGCAACTGGAGGGGTGCACATGCAGAAAGGAAGGGGACAGGGTCAGAGGTAAAGGGCCCAGGCTTTTCTCTGTCTGTAATGGGGAGACACTAAGGATTTTAAGCATAAAATGACATAGTCTGACCACAGTTTATTTTTATGTTTTGCACTACTAACAATTGAACCCAGGGCCTTTGCACTGAGCTACATTCCCAAGCCCCTTTTTTATTCCTTTCTTTAAATTCCCAGTCCTTTTAAATTTTGAGACAGGACCTTATTAAATTATTATGTCACTCAAGTTGGGTTTGAACTTGCAACCCTCCTGCCTCAGCCTCCCAGAGTGCTGGGATAATGGGTATACACCACTATACTTGGCCTGATCACACCTTAAAGAATCACTTTGACTGTGGTGCTAAGAATACGTTATAAGGGGGCTGGAGATTTAGCTCAGTGGCACAGCGCCTGCCTGGCAAGTGCAAGGTCCTGAGTTCCCGGTACCGGAAAAAAAAAAAAAAAAAAAAAAAAAAAAAAAAAGAATAGGTTATAGGTTTATCCTTGTCACAGAGCTACTGTGATAAAACAGCATGGTACTGGCAGAAAAACAGACCTGAGGATCAATGGGACAGATTAGAAGATGCAGAAACAACTCCAAACACACTCAGCCACCTTATCTTTGACAAGGGGCCAAACATCTTCACTGGAAGAAAGATAGCCTCTTTAATAAATGATGCTGGAAAAACCGGCTTTCCACATGCTGAAGACTAAAACTAGACACATGTCTCTCACCATGCACTAAGCTAAAATCGAAATGGATCAAAGATCTAAATATTAAAACAGAAACACTAAATGTTCTGGAAGAGAGACTAGATAGAACTCTTGAAGACATAGGTGTAGGCAAAGGCTTTATGAACAAAACCCTGATTGCATGGGAAATACTACAAAAAATCAACAACTGGCATCTCATCTTATTAAAATGCTTCTGCACAGTAAGAGAAATCACCAACAAAGTGAAAAGACAAGCTATAGAATGGGGAAAAAATTTTTAGTCAGTTGTTCCTCAGACAATGGTCTAATATCTAGAACATATAAAGAATTGAGAAAAATCAGACCTCCTCCAAATGTAAAGATTCAGTCCAAAAAAAGGCATCTGAAATGAATACACACTTACTTGTCATTTGAGAGATGCAAATTAAAAGAACACAGATTCCATCTCACCACAGAACAAATGGCTGTCATCAAGAAATCAACCAATAACAAATGCTAGAGGGGGTGTGAGAAAAAAGGAACACTTCTCCATTGTTGGTGGAACATAGACTGGTGCAACCATTGAGGAAATCAGTGTGGAGATTCCTCCAAAAACTAAGATTGGAGGTCCCATTTGACCCAGCTATTTCCCTTCTGGATATCTTCCCAGAAGAATTAAAAGCATCATACCACAGTGATATATGCACACTCATGTTTATAGGAGCACAGTTTGTAATAGCTAAATCTTGGAAACAGCCCAAATGCCCATCAACCAATGAATGTATAAAAAGGATATTGGTTTTTTTCATACACTAGAGTACTACTCAGCCATAAAGAAGGATAAACTTGAGACATTTCTAGGTAAATAATTGTATGTTGAGACCATATTCTTAAGTGAAATAAATCAGACACATGTGTAAATATTGCATTGTTTCTCTGGTGTGAGAAACCAAAAGTGTAAATAAGGACCACAATGTACAATAGATATTGTGAACTAGGAAGAAATTGTTCAAAAGAAAAGGGAAACTGGGGAGAGAGTAGGGGGAAAGGAAGGAAGGGAAGGAAAAAATGAGAAAAGAAGGATAAAATGGAAATAAAGCTTTGTAAATAAGGAGAGGAAGAGGGGTTGAAGGGAGGGGAGGTGAATGGGGAAAGAAAGAAGAATTGAGATATACCATGTACAGGTACAACTTTCCTATGATGAATATGATCATTATGTATACCTAAATTATACCAATAAACTTAATTTAAAAAAGGGATAAGTTTTAGGACCACTATGGAGAATAATTTACAGCTTCCTCAAGAAATGAAAAGTAGACTCAGAGCTGGGCATGGTGGTGCACACCTATAATCCCAGCACTCGGGAAGCTTTGAGGCAGAAGGATCACCACGAGTTTGAGGATAGCCTGGGCCACATAAGCGAGTTCAAGGTCAGGCTGCACCACACAGCAAGACTCTGACTAAAAAAAAAAAAAAAAAAAAAAAAAAACAGCCTATAAAAACAAATAAACAGTAGTCTCACCATGTGATCCAGCAACCCCACTTTGGGGATAGATGTGAAAAGCTGGAATGTGGACCTGAAGAGGTATCTGCACACCCACGGCCAGAGCAGCATTACTCATACAACCAAAAGGTGGTAATGACCCAAGTGGCCATCAGTGGATGGATAACTAAACTGGTACGAGTCTGCAGTCAAAGAAGTAGTATCAGCCTTAGAAAGGAGGGTCATTCAGATGCAGACTATAATGCAGATGACCCTGGAGGACATTATGCAACATAAGTCTTTTACAAATACTGTGTTTCCACTTCTGTGAAGCCCCTAGAGTCCTCAGTTCACAGAGACACAAAGTAGAACCCCGGGTCCAGGGCAGGGAAGGGGTGGTGTCTGACAGGTGCAGGGGTGCAGCTGGGAAGATGACGAGTTCTGTGGGTGGATAGCGGTGATGGCAGTGAGACTCAATGCCACTGACCTGTACATTTACAAACGGTTAAGATGGTGCACTTTATGTCACTCTCATTTTATTACAGTCTAGAAAAACTGAGGAGGAAAGAACAAAAAAATGAAGGAGGTAGGAAGAAAAAGCAAGAAGAGAAGGAAAGGAAGAAGTAAGGGAAAAGGAAGGAAGCAGGGAAAGAAGACAGGAAGGAGAGGAGGAAGGAGAGAGGGGAAGGTTAGGGTCCAAAGGTGGGAGCTGAGAGGCTGGTGGAGGGACCTCGTCAGCTGTGCTGTGACTCAGGCGCTGTGGAAAACAGGGATTGGTTTCTTTAGGAAGTCTCAGCAGTAGACCTCGGTACCTCATCTTCCCTCTCACCTCTCCGCAGCGGAGATGGGTGGAGGAGGGACTTGTGGGGAAGAGGGCCTGTGCAATGTGTGAGAGACAGGCTCAGGATGGCTGGTCAGGGCTGTGGGCTGTGGGCTTCTATCAGCCAAGAACAATGACGGAACACAGGGCAAGTTCAGTAAGAGAGTCTGGGTTTTGATTCTGAGTCTTTTGGGCAGTGAGATGGTTGTCTGCCCAAGCGCTGTGCACACCCTGGCTTACAGTTACCTGCTGTTTGTTTTCTTCTTTGACCTCAAGATTGGATGATAGGTGTGGGTGATGTGGGCTTTGGTTTGCTATGTCAGTAGAAATTAAATTCATTTAATATTTTTATGAACTTCAGACACTGGGATACTGTGTAGCATCTCACTGTTCTCTCCGTCCCACAGATCTGAGAAGGCAGGACTTCTGTCTTTCTCTGCAATCTAAATTCTCACGCTTGGCAACAGACCAGCCCTGTCTCATCTTGGTCTGTGGTATGAATCTCAGTGCTTCATATGTGCTGCCTGTGTCCTTGTGGGTCATCAGTAGTGAAGCCAGTTATTTGTTATTTGCTGGTTCTTCCCCGTGTAATCTTTGGCTGACCCACCATAGTGATTTAATGCTTGGAAAAGAATATTTTTCCTTCTGCAAACTCATCAGAATTATAAAGCTGGCATGAGTTTTCCAGTTCAGCAAACTCCCAGAAACCTGCCTGCCTTGCAGGGAGCTGTGCAGCCCAGTGCAGACGGCCCCTCTCCTTACAGCCACGATCAGCAGGGCAGGGTGCCGGGAAAGGTTCCTTCATCAAATCTCTTTCCCTTCTTTGCAGGAAGAAGTGGAAGCTCTCCAGAAAAGGATGTCTGCGCTGGAGGCCAAAGATCAACAGCTGAGAAGGGAGATAGAGGAGCAGGAGAGAGAACTCCAGTGGCAGCGCTGTGGCCTGGGGTCACTGGTGGTCCAGCTACCCCTGGACCAGCTGAAGGAAGTCAGTGAGACCCTGAGGGACACGCTGGCCTCTGCCAGCCAGATTCTCCCCCACATGGAGCCGCCTGAAGCCGTCAGGAGGTATTGGTGATTTCCTCATTGTGGTTACTTGCTACTCTGACCTGTTGGACTATTTGCTGTCGCACGTCTGCCAAAATCTTCCAAGTAGTCTGCATTTCTCAGTGGGAGCACTGTCGGTGTTTTGATGTTTTCATTACTGTGTGGGGCAGTCCTGAGCATGGGAGGCTATTTTCCATCCTGCCCACCCAACCTGCCCTAGGCCAGCTCTCCTTTCCATCCCTGTAGGCAGCTTCTCCATTACCTGACTGCCCAGGGGAAGCTTCTTTTCTTCTAAGAACTACTGGAGCTCCTCGGCTTGGGCTTCTGATGCCAGCTTCTGCAGAGGCTGATCACCTGGAGAGAGGGGAATTAGCTGACCTGTGCATCACTGAGAGAGGGTGACTCCATGCCAGAGTTTCTGTCTGGAAGACTGGACTGGGATAGACAGGGGACATTTGCTGAGTGCTTCCCCTGTGTCAGGCATTGTGCTAAGCTTTACTCCGTCTGTTATCGTGGCCATTTGACAGATAAGGAAGAAAAAGTCTAAGATAATAATTTCCCCCAAATCTCAATTAATAGGGATGAAAATGGATATTTCAACTGCTGTTCATTAATTCTGAAGCCTGGCTTCCTATCTGGTCTATACAGAATGGGGTCTTCCTTGTGCTCAGTTGTGTTGGTGAGTGTTGGGGAGGGTCCCAACGCTCAGCTGTCTCTTGCCCTTCAGGGACTCATGTTCTTGTTTTGGAGAAGGACAGGCAGAAGACACATGTTTTAGAGAAGTGAGTAGTATCTGGGTGAACTGCAGACAGGTAGTGAGGATGGTGGGTGTGGTGGGTGCCACCCAAGCAAAGGGCTCCTGTGCCAGGGACCTCCCTGAAGCTCCCAATGTGTGCCAGTCTGGAGGGATCCTCACTAAGTCACGACTTGGCTGATTTAGGGAGGGATGTTGCTGACACCCATTTAGGAGTGTCCGAAAGATGAGCGCAGTTAATAGCTGCTCTCACTGCTGGGCCTGGCTAGACTGTGTGCTTCATCCTGTTTCTTGCAGGCTCCTTTTATTATGTACATCACACTCCTGAAGTCTGCCTGTCTACAGTGTTTGTCTACAGAGTCGCAGAGTTCAGCGACTGACTCTTCTACACATGACTCTAGAGCAGGCTACACGGGCTGCTCCAGGGAGTCACTCAGGATCCCTCTCATTCCTTTTCTGTCCCTCATATCTTCTCATATGGAGCTGACCCCTAGCTCCAGCCATGGAGAAGGAGAAGAGATTGGGGTTGTGTCTAGATTTTGGCCCAGTGCAGCTGATCCGGTCTCTACTGGGGCCTTTACACCATGCTCAGGGTGTGGCCAGGTGCGGGGCACGGGCTGTTCTGGCTGTTTTTACTGCACATGAGAAGACAAAAGCTCAGGAAGTTCCCTGCTAATGCAGCAAGAAGAGAACATCTTATGTACATGGGTGAAGACTTTGGTCAGCACCGGTAGATGATTCCTGCTACAGAGCTAAGGAAGGTGCTTCCCCCCAGATGCTCTTTCATAAACAGAAACGGGGAAGTCCATGGTGTCGTAGGCTGGTGAACCTGGGCGCAGAGCATGGTTCCTCTGATTTCTAGTTGATGCTTCCACTCATGCGTTGTAGCTCACATTTTATTTTTGATTTATTTTTTAAGAGTAGGAAGAATTTATCGAAAGAAAGAAAGCTTCTGTCTAAGAGGGACAGAAAAGGGCCTAGAAAGTGGGTTGCCCACTGACCTTAATTCTCAAAGGTGTTTTATTGAGCAAAGCCACGAGGTGAGGCAGATTAAGGTGGGACAAAACTATAGTCAGCTAATAAGATTAGATATATAGCCACTTAGGTAATATTGACCCAATAGGAAATCACAAGGTGGGTATGAGGTGGGACAAAACTATGGTGAACCAATAAGATTACAACAAATATAGTTGCTTAGGTAATACTGATTAAATGGGGATCAAATTGGGAAGCAAGTCATGTAGCAGTAGCTTGCATTTTATTCATCACCACTATAGTATGGTATAGCACTGTCTCGGTATTCTCTGAGGTGACCATCAGCACTAGATGTGAGGGCAGTCTGAGCGTTGTACAGTGCTATCTGGGCTTGAGGGGACCCTTTACTCCAAATGCAGATGTTCCCACTGAGGTCATAGAAGTCAGCCAGGAATCTGCTCTCGCCTATTGTGTTGGTGTGACCAGAAGAAACCCGGTGTCTATAGAAAGCCCTTCTGGACCTTGTCGTGGTCCAGAAAAACCCACATTTGTAATCATAGAGGAAAATTATTGGAATTCCAATAAGGTAATTCCAGTTTACCACTTCCAGTGCAATCCATGGTGAGAATAAAGACACGAAGGTATATTTGTAGTTGTGGGGAGCCAAGGGGATTCTAAGCCCAGCTAGAGGGATGGCTAATGGAACAAAGGCCTCGACCCAGGGCCAAATCCAGGTCTTACCAATTCGTGAAGAGGGGAGTGGCTCAGAATGAGTGACTATGTGAATGATGGTAAGTACATGAGTGCTGTGAGCTGGGCTAGGTAGGAGGCCTGAAATCACCTCTGCAATATGCAGAAGGAGAGATATACAGAAAGAGTAATCTGCATATCACAGACTGGGGCACTATCTAGTGTTTCGGGGTTGATGCTTCAGTTTTGATGTGTAATCCACGCCCTGAGAAGTCATAGCCTCTTTTCTGGAGGCTCATTCTCAGCTGACGGTGTGGCTTCACTCGCATTGCTGCAAAGACTACACATCAGCACCTTGGGCTAGACCCATTTATATTGCTTAAAGCCAATGGAAGGGATAAGGAAATATCTTAGCCAGCTCTATACATATCAGTACACGGAGGTAGGGCCAAACGCTTTTCTTTCAGGGACAGCCGTCCTACACAGGTGTCGCTATGGCTTTGGAAAACCTCAAGGGATTTGCACAGTCGAAAATCTTAGGAAAATAAAGATTTTGTGGTTCAGTGACACAAAGAAATGTGGAAAGTTGAGTGACATAATGGGTTAAATGGCTCTAGCATGAGATGCACATGGCGAGCAGAGTGCCATCTTTGGGACGGTTTTTTATTTTTTGGCAGGTGGCAAGTGACCATCCTGTGATATTTGCATAACCTGGCTGATCCCCAGGAGGTGCTCTGTGGCTCCAGCCACACTTTGTTCACTTTGAGGAACAGGGCGGCCCGTCTCCTGGCGGAGCCAGTTGAGCTTGTGTACCTCACATATCGATTCCTCTGCTTCCCCTCTCACCTTGAAAAGTGAGGGGTCGGACTGCTTCCTGCCAGCATGTGGGCTTTTGTTATGTTTTGAATCTAGAATGTGCCCTAAGAGGCTCATAGGTTGAAAGCTTGGTTCTAATGCATCGGTGTTCAGAGGTCGGGTGTAGAGAGATGTTCGACTCTTCAGGGCCCTGAGCTCATCAATAGATTGATCCATGGATGAGTTCATAGCTAAATGGGCTGTCAGGAGGTCAGGCCCAGATAACGGGAGCGGGTAACCAGGACAGGACTCTGAAGGGTGTGTCTGTTTCCCAGCCTCTTCCTGTCTCACTCTCTTATTCTCATTCTCCTTCCTAGCTGCCAGGAGGTGCCTAGTGTTCCTCTGCCACACCTTTCTGCTGTGACGTTTTGTCCTCATAATAGATCTACAAGGGATGGAGCCAGCTGACTGTAGACCTAAACCATGAGCCAAAGAAAGGTTTCCCCTTTAAACTGTTTTTCTCAGGTATTTGTCACAGCAATGAGAAGCTAGCTAACACAGAAGACTGCTCACTCGGGTGTACCTTTGAAGGGCGTCTGTTGTCCCTGGCCCCCTCTCTCTCTGTGTGCTTCCTGGCTGCTATGAGGCTAACAGTTTGCTCCAAGTCCTCCCAGCCCCACTGCTCTGCCTCCCAGAAACAATGGAGCCGAGTGACCGTGCAGTGAAAGCTCGAAACCATGGGCCAAAATACATCTTCTCTTCTTGAAGGTGTTTTTGCAGGTATTCTGGCACAACAACTGGAAAGCTGACTAACCCAGCTTTCCCTTCGAGCAATAAGACACGGCTCTTCCTTAAGGGGCTACAGCATGAGTTCACTGAAGCAGAGTGTTTCAAAGAAGCCAGTGTGGAGTCTGGCTCAACAGACAGGAGAGATTGCTTGATTTTTAACTACTCATCCACTACCCTGTTAGCTCAGCTTTTGCTATGAAGTGTTGGCTGCCTTGTAGACAGTGCTGACCTAAGGGTAAGTCCTGTGGGGTCCTCCTCAGATGAGATTAGTTTGTCCTGAAGCCACGGGAGAGGTCCAGATGGACTGTGAAGGAAGGAAATCTTGAAGTCTTAAGAAGACAGGTTTCAGAGATCAGAGTTGCTACAAAAACGTGAGGAAACAGAACACTCTGCCTTGTGACTGTTACTGTCCCCGTCCACGGAGATTTTCACAGTCTAGCTGCAAACTCTGGGTGATGTCTGGACAGGAGCTGCTTCCTCAACATGCAATATAGAAGGATGTTTTTTCCCTAGATGAAGAGAGAATGTCCCAAGAGCACCTGCATTCTGAGTGTGACACTGGGGAAGATGTGCATTTGCCTGGAGCGAGCGTTTCTTTTTTTTCTCTTTTGGTGCTGGGGATTGAACCTAGGCCCTCAAACTTGGAGGCAGATGTTCTACCACTGAGCGACACTCCAAACCCTGAAGGCATCATTTCAGACCAGGGTTGTTGGGCGTCCACTGGCCAGCCTTAGAGAGGGTTAGCAGCAGAAGAGCCTGTGCTGGAACCGAGGAGTCCCAGCTGCCTTTTGTTTGGGTTATGATAGAGACCAATGTGGCAGTTTCAGCCTCCTCTGTCTGTTTTGGGTTGCATAATTTAGCAGGAGGCGAGACAGCTAAGCTGTGCTTGAGTAGAGCCAACATAAGTGGTTTTCGTCCCACAGACAAAAGGAAAAGTATTTTTAAGCACTGGGAGGATCAGGAACTCCACAGCAAGGAGGATGACAAAGCAGGAGGTGGAAGAGAACAGGAGTCACTT